ATCATGTTGAAATTCGGCGTTTCTGATTTCCATTCAGCATTCCGTTTTCGGCATTTTGTTGTAAATCCTATATTTCGCTTTCTTTTGGATTTCCGTTGTCTTTCAATATTGAAAATTAGGGTTACGAAAATCTTTGGGTTTTGGATCAACTTGGGAAAATTCGAACGTTTTGGGATCGTAAATCCGGAAATTTCGCGGAAACGCGGAAAATTAGGATTGGGACCGAAATTTTCGCGAATTTTTTTTTTCGTTCCCCTTGTTTTAGAAATTCCGAAAACAGGTTTTGGGCTTTTAAAAATCGGATTTTGACGGTGGAAATTCCCAAAAATTCGCGTTTTTGAAAAATCGAGCGTTTTTCTTCTGAAATTTTTCGAAATTTTTTTTAGCACACTAAGTCGTATCTGACCCTTAAACTGCAACTTCTGGGTAGTTCACTCATTAACGGTGAACTCCCGGACTCAAAGTGATCTCAAAGAGACCTAATCATAATACTTTTCAAATTCGTTTATGATTGCAATTATTGTTTATTGATTATCTTCATTGCAAATAATGATTATTGGTTATCTTTATTACAAACATTGTTTTATTGATCATCATTAGGAGTATTTCGTTATTTATCATTAATTAATTTTATTGATTAAATCGTATTATTCCCTTATTACGAATTTTTGAATGGTTTACGGAAAATTATYTCTCTGTTTGATWAGGTKTCTACAGTCCATCAGTGGGACAGGGGACTGTATGCGTATTGTTTGATTGTTCTACCCCTGTTCCCACTCTCCCTACCCTCCCCGTATTCTGTGACCACYGGGACCTCTCAAGTACCGCATCAGTACACACTGATGTCGATGGAACAGGATACCGGGGCACTGCCACGGCGCAGTGCCAGGCTCGCAGTTCGTGCTCGACCTACGGTACCTCCACGAACCAAGGCTCAGCAACAGAGACTCAGCAGGCGGATGACTCCAGCGGCATCGAGTACAACATTGACGGTACCGGACACCACCGGAGTTCTTCCCGCATGCCCGGTCCGAAGGGCCAGTGAGCCGTTGGCTGACTATTTTGGGCGGCTACAGGTATTTACAGATGCCGTAGCCGCCGCCAAAGCTCAGGAGGAGGCAGCAGAGGCAGAACGTCAGCGGCTTGCCAATGAGGCGGCAGCCCAAGCTCAGCAGTCTGCTGAGGCTGACGCAGCGGCACGAGACCAACGGAATGCCACTAGTACGGAGTCTCTGATTCATAGTGAAAGTCAGTGGACAACGTTCCTCCAAGGCATGATCTTTGTACCTTCGGACGCGCAGGCAGATCCGACACCGGCGGAGGCAGAGAGGACTCACCTGGCTAACTTGATGCTGGGCATGATGAGAGGCATCATGTGGAATAACACACTGCTGCAGGCACATCTGCGCACGGAACGACAGSAGCGACAAAAGTACCAGCAAGACATTGTTGTTTTAACAACTKCCATCCGCGCCGAAGCAACGCAGCAGCAGCAACAGCATCAGCTGTTGAACTCCGCTCTCGCACGCATCAGCAGCACTGAGGCTAACGCCTCAGCAGCGTCAKGTTGCACGACAGATGCGACGAAGCAACTCAATGAGCGCATCGATCACGTCGTCACCATCATCGGCGACATAGGTGTTTTCAGTAGGCCGGACACGATCAGTAGCACGGTGGCCGCCATCAAGACGGACATCACCAAGCTGCAGACGAGACCGGACGCCGCTACAAAGACTTACAAGATGCCGCACTTCGACATCAGCAAGTTCGACGACTACAACAAGTCGGACGCCTTGACATGGTGGCAACGTTTTCTCACGGAAGCATCATGCCACACTGTCCCGGCAGACGACATGATGAAGGCACTCTACTTGCAACTAATTGGAGGAGCGCAGGCTTGGATGAACCATCTGGCGGCTACCAACAAATGCACCATCGCCGACCTCCACACGCACATCACGTGGAATGAGTTCGAGAAGCTATGGTTCACTCGGTTCATGGTCCGCAACGTCGTGAAGGCGGCCATGAACGAGGTGTACACCTGCTCTCAAGGAAATATGCAAACTCGAGACTGGACAACCAAGTGGCGGAAGATAGTGACCACGCCAGGATTCAATTTGAGTTTTCCAAATCAACGATCCGAGTTCTTCTCGCGATCGTGCGCGGGACTGAGGTCGGCACTCGGCAACGAGTACGACTATGACACGTTCCAGGCCATTCTGGATCGTGCGAACTTAGTCATCCAAACGGATGACAAGGCCGCAAACGAACGGCAGTCCCAGCCGCATTATGTGGCTCAGCAGGGCTATCAAYGTTCGGCACATAACAATGTCGTGATTTCTGAAGAAACAGACGACCTCCACGCTGCAGCAGCATCCTCGAGTGATGGAGGAATTGTAGCAGCGCTCCCGCCGAAGAGTCCCAAGAGAGTTCGGAAGAACAAGGCGACACAAGAGACAGCATCGACGGGAACTGGGCAGCAGCCATGAACGGCTTACAAGATAACCAAGGATGTCTATGACCTTCGTCAAAAGTACGGATACTGCCTCTGGTGCAACGGCGTCACTCATGTGACCACACAATGCCCCGAAAAGGGCAAGGCACGCATACCCCGTCCAGCAAACTCGGGAAACTGAGTTACGCAAGGAGAGGGGCGACGTCTCTCCTCACTCCGCCGGACCCGGTTGCCTTGCTAGCAATCGATGTCACTACCGGGGAGCATGCGTTAGTCGCTGATTCTCGTGCCACGTACGAGCATTATGCCGCCCAGCTAGTACCACCATTAGACCAGCCAAGCCACGTGCACTTAGCTAGCGTATGCGCAGCCTGTACACCGTCGGCAAGAGATCCGGTCAGTTCGCCACTGATTTCCGAGGACTCGACGGCGTGGTCAAGACTTGAGGAGCTTGACCCGCTCACGAGAGAGGACTTCGCTTGGATGCCTCTACCCTTGACCGGAACCTTGCCAAGGCCGCATTGCAACGCCTTGATGGCAACACTACGCTCCTATTTGCACACTACAGTACCAGCTCTGTTGACGGACGACGGGGTAGCGGTTGTCGATCTCCGCTCCTATCTTGCGAAGACTGACCGCGAGTACGTCTCCCAAAGGTACGCCGAAACCGACGCACCTTTGCTCTATATCCGCATTCAAATCGGAAAGGCAACATGTAGTGCCTTGATTGATTGCGGAGCGTCTCGTAACTTTATGAGCCAAGCCTTTATGGCCCGCGCAGGTCTTGGCCCGTGCGTTCGAAGGAAGATGCAACCTACGCAAGTTACACTCGCGGACGGCCGCACGCAAAAGTCAATTGACCGATGGGTTGACGGCGTTCCGGTCTACTTTGCGCCACTTGCGTGCGAGCCGGTGTCTTTTGACATCCTCGACACCAACTTCGACATGATTCTAGGCATGTCTTGGTTGCGTAGCGCCGATCATCCGGTGAACTTCCATGACCGAACCGTTCAGATCCGTGATCAGAACGGAGTGTTAATCCCATGTACGGTCGCAACCCATCACGTGGTTTCCGTTGCGAGAATTCGCGACGCCATTGCTCGGAATGACGTCGAGGAGATGGGCCTTGTATTCTTGCATGCTCTCCCCTCACCGGACGGACCAGCCGCGTCACCGCCGGACCCATGCATTTCTCACCTCTTGGACGAGTATAGAGACGTCTTCTCGGGATACTCACTCACCACTGACCTAGCTGATATTAAGGGGGATACTTATCATCGAACGCCTATCATCATTATCAGTTGATCGTAACCTTTTCCCAGCCCTATAATTGTGAATGCGTATATATGCTCTGTATTTGTAGATGTGTGCCTGTATTTGTAGATGTGTGCCATAGCAGACGTTGTTCCCCACCATGGAGCATCTGCAAGGTGAATGTATAGTATGGGTGTATGATATGTATCGTAGTTGTGCTATCTGGGGCGGTATCTCTATGTGTGGATATATGTGGTAGAGACAGGCCTATCTCCCCAAAGTCCGAAATCAGACTCGAATCTGTGACCTACAGTATGAAACTGGAGGGTTCTACGACATGTACTTCCATTGGAAGTAGATATAATGTGTGTAATATCTGGGCTGGGGGAGATCATCAGAGCGACCAAAGCCAACAACAACAGCAACCAACGTGAAGTCTAGGCCAACATACAACCCCCATGGACTGACCACCGGGTGGTGCGCAGGCAGTGTCTGTAATAGTACCATGCGTCAGCCCAGGGGTGTGTGTGTCCAGCCGTGCGTCATTCTAACACCCTGCCGGTGTCCATGCGCAAGGCTGCGGAACTTTGAACCCTCAACCTCATACCACAATGCGCATTTCCAACCGGTGCTCTAACCATTGAGCTACATAGTATCGTACCATAAAGTACAATATAATAAAGATGAGTAAAGTATAGTAGAGTGGAGTAGGGAAGAGTAAAACAAAGTAGAGTAGAGTAGCGTAGAGTGAAGTAAAGTCGAGTAGAGTCGAGTGTAGAAGAGTAGAGTGGAGAAAAGTAGAGTGGAGGGGAGTCGAGTACAGTATAGAAGAGTGGAGTGGAGTGGACTGAAGTGCAGTGGAGTGGAGTGGAGTGGTGTGGAGTGGAGTGAAGCGGAATACAACAAAGTAGAGTGAGTAGATAAGAGTATCACAACATATAGTACAATACAGTAGCGTACAAAAGAGTAGAGTAGAGTGAAGTAGAGTAAAGCAAAGTAGAGTAGAGTACTTTGCTCTGTTAAAGTCAGTTTGAGCCCGTTTTGAGTGTCGTTTTAGTTTGTCTTAGCACGTAGGTTCATTCAAGGTATGCCACTCTTCTCTAGTCTACTCCATTCAACTCTACTCGACTCGGTGCGACTCGACTCTACTGTACTCTTTGCTACACTACTCTAAGCTACGCTACTCTACTGTACTCTACTTTGCTGTACTCTACTTTACTCTACTCTATAGTACTATATTCTACTCTACTTTACTCTACTCTACTTTTTTGTACTTTACTGTATTGTACTATATGTTGCGATACTCTTATCTACTCACTCTACTCTGTTGTATTCCGCTTCACTCCACTCCACACCACTCCACTCCACTCCACTGCACTCCACTCCACTCCACTTCACTTCACTCTTCTATATTTTACTTTATTCCCCTCCACTCAACTTTTCTCCACTCTACTCTTCTACACTCGACTCGACTCGACTTTACTTCACTCTACTCTACTCTATGCTTCGCTACTCTACTCTACTTTGTTTTACTCTTCCCTACTCTACTCTATGCTACGCTACTCTACTCTACTTTGTTTTACTCTTTCGTACTCCACTCTACTGTACTTTACTCATCTTTATTATATTGTACTTTATGGTACGATACTATGATCTACTCACTCTACTCTACTCTTTCCTACTTTACTCTACTTGATTCTCTTCTATTAAACTCTAACCTCTTCTACTTTACTTTATGATACTCTACTCTACTCTACTCTATTTTACTCTACGATACTTTACGCTTCCCTACTATTATCGACTCTTCTATTTTCTACTCTTCTCTTCTTGAAGCTTCTCTTCTTTGCTCTACTCTACTCAATGTCAGTCAATGATACTCAACTCTACTCTGCTCTACTGTACTTTACAATACTCTACGCTTCCCTATGCTTCTCGACTCTACTTTTTCCCACTCTTCTCTTCCTTAAGTTTTTTCTCCCTACTCTTCTCTACTCTACTTTTTCCTGCTCTGCTCTATTCTACTCTGCTCCACTCTACTCTACTCTACGCTTCCTTACTCCACTCCACTCCACTCTACTCCACTCTACTCTACTCCACTCTACTCCACTCTACTCTACTCCACTCTACTTTACCCTACTCCACTTCATTCTACTCTACTCTACTCTACTCTTCTCTCCTTCACTCCTCTTTGCTCCACTCCACTCTTCTACACACGACTCCACTTGAGTCTACTCCACTCAACTGTGCTCCGCTGCACTCTCCCCACTCCACTCTACTTCACACCACTCTACTCCACTACACTCCACTCCACTCCTGAGTACTTGACTCGACTTTCCTCCACTCCACTTTACTTCACTCCAATCTACTCAACTCTACTCTACTCTATTTTACTCTCCTACACTCTACGCTTCCCTACTCCTCTTTACTTTACTCTTCTCTTCCCTATGCTCTCTTCCCTACACTTATCTTCCCTACTCATCTCTACTAAACGCTTTTGTATTCTTTATTTCCCTACTCTTTTCTTCCCTACTTTTCTCTTCCCTGCTCTTCTCTTCCCTACTCTTCTCTTTTGTACACTTCCCTACTCTACGTTTTTGTGCTCTGCCCTACTTTGCTCTACTCTTCTCTACTATGATATGTTACAAACTGCTCTGCTATTTCTTTTCTCTGCTCTTCTCTACTCTGCTCTACACTCCTTCACTTTACTATGCTCTTCTCCACTTTGCCTTACTCTACCCCATTCTGCTTTACTCTACTTTACTCTCCTCCACTCCACTCACCTGCACTCTCCTCCACTCTACTCCACTCCACTCTACTATACTCCACTCTACTCTATTCAACTCTATTCCACTCCAATCCAATCCACTTTACTACAATCCATTCCACTCTACTTCACTTCACTTCACTGCACTCTACCTCACTCCACCACTCCAATCTACTCCACTCGACTCTATTATACTCTACTCTACTTCCTTGACTCTACGTTTCCCTAATCTTTTTTAATCTATGCTTCTCTACTTTTATCTTCCCTACTATTTTCCACTCCACACTTCCCTGCTCTTCGCTTCCCTCCATTGCTCTGCTCTTCTCTTCTTTTCTCTACCTTGCCCTACACTACTCTCCTCTACTCTACTATGATCTGCTCTGGTATGATTTGTGTTGCCATTTGTCATAGTGCGCTCAGTTGCTGACGTGAATGGAACGAAAAATCTTCATACTGAATATTTTTCCTTGTATGTTGAGTTGTCTTTTCTTTATTCTAGCAATTTATGAGCATTGTTTTTTTGTTGCTCCTCTCTTTCTCTCTCTCTCTCTCTCTCTCTCTCTCTCTCTTTCTCTCTCTCTCTCTCTCTCTCTCTCTCTCTCTTTGCGTGTGTGTGTGTGTGTGTTTGTGTGTCTGTGTGTGTGTGTGTGAAAGTATAAGGTTACGGGAGACTTTTGAAAACACTAGGAGTGACTTTTTTTCTCCATGTCAGGAAGCAATTTCGAGGCAGTACCGTAGTATGTGACACGAACATGGGGACGATGGATTGAAAGTCCCACGACTCAAAACAGGCAGCTAACGGTAACCATACCAGTAAAATGTTGTTCGGATAACCGGTAATAGGACGTCGGTGTATCCATAGTGTTTGACCGCTGACCTTTCGTTTTTGTCTATTTGCTTTGGTTTATTTTGTCATTTTTGTCTTTCCAATTTGCGCCCTTATATGCGCCTTTATTTATTTATTTTCGCGTTTCGAAGCTTTCTGAATTTTTTATAGACTATTACAGTAACTCCAAAAGGACTAGGAACTGTTTTTGGGAGTAAGACGCAACTGGAGACTAGATACATGTTATTTACTGTTTTA